ATTCTAAGGCCTGTTGCTTATATATAGTCTTCTGGCTGTCTTGTCCAAGAATTGAGTAGATTCCTTGATCCCTAAGGTAATAACTGATGACTGTGCTGAAAACTACAATGTTTTTGATTTTGTCAGGCATTGATATGCATGCCATTAAAATCCAAAGCACAAGCTTAGCTAAAATTTCCTACATACATAGCAGCAGCCACCTCAACATTATCGTTTAATTTCAAATGGTTACCTGGGCTTACAATCCAGGTGTGAAATTTCATCTGATCTGGGTAGTGCTCAATATTTAACACATCTTAAAATGATTAGTGTTTATTCCTGTTCAGTTCAAGCTGTCCTAGTTAACTCCTTTGTAGTTTGGAGATGTGAATTCATTTTAAACCTTTGAAAACTTCTTGGTTTTTCTTGCTTTGCAGGAAAGTAGAAGCTCATGTTTTAGCTTTACCGTAGGAAGCAAATAGCAAAGTCAAAGGTGGGATTATGTTTATTCATTCCACAGCAATTATTTATTTATGATGGCCATTTTCCAGATTACTCATTTATTCAATGGATTTGTATTACATACTAGAGGCCCGGTGCACGAAATTCGTGCACGGGAGGGAGGGGTGTCCCTCAGCCTGGCCTGCACCCTCTCGCAAACTGGGACCCCTTGGGTAGGGTCCCTAGGCCTGGCTGGTGATCAGGGCCTGTAGGGCTTTCCTTCCCTTGGCTGTCGGCAGCTCGCCCTGCTTCTGCCACTGCCACTGCTTACCATCTGTGCAGTGCTCCCCCTACCCCCTGCAACTGGTCGCTTCCCTCTGCGGGTAACAGGCGTGGGGTACGATTGCTTGGTTGGCCTGGGCCTCCTTCTGCGGGGCGATCACTGGCTGGCCCCACCCACCCGCTGCAGCACCGCCAGCCGGGTAGTCTGAGGTGATTGATTGCAGAGCCCCCCTCATTGATTGCCCTGCAGAGGGTGGCCTGGGCCTCCCTCTGTAGGGCGATAATGGGGCGAGGGCGGGGCCCCCCAACCAATAGCATTGCACCCGCCTTGGCTGGCCTGGCGCCAGTGCGTGTCATAGCATGGTCATCCGGAAGGCCGTCTGGATGGTCGTTCTGCGGTTCGGTCGATTTGCATGTTATGCTTTTATTATTATAGATTATTACAGACAAATGTTTTGGGGCCAGAGATAAATGATGCTAGTTTTAAAACTAGACAGAATGATTGCCCTACAGAGGGAGGCCCATGCCACTCTCTACAGGGCAATCACTGGCCAGCAACGCCCACCTGTTGCAGCACCACCGGCCAGGTAGCCTGGGCCTCCATCTTTGGGGTGATTGATCATGGAGCCCCCCCCATTGATTGCCCGACAGAGGGTAGCCTGAGCCCCCCTCTGTAAGGGATCATGGGACGATGGCGGGGCCCCTCGACCATTTCATTTCATTTTAAAATGTTTTTAAATGAAAACATTTTTATCTCAAAAATCTTGGGGTGTATGTAATATGCTATGACTATTTCCCATGGAAATAACGAAGTCCAGAGTTGACTCTTGGACATAAGACTCACTCACTTTGCTCTTTTCCTTTCCTTTCTTATCCTCATCTGCACTCCCATCTACCCTCATCTGCAACCCAGGATCAGTAGCACATACCAGAGATCCCAAATATCACTGCAGGCTCAGAACCCAGTGAATGGAGAAACTGAATCATTCTTGAAATGAACTTCTTTAAAAATAAAAATTAAAAGAGTACACGTTAAATTCTCTAATTTCTTCTGCTCAGTTTCATCAAATATTAGAATGCTAGCAAGTGTTGAAGTTATGGAATTTTGTAGGCTGATAAAATATTTGTAAAGTATTTGGATATCAATGTATGTTAAAAACAACCAAACACAGGTATCTCATTTTTTAGTCCATTTTTTTTTTCTTGCTCCCAGTTTTTATTCAACCAAGCAGATTTATAGCAATTCTGCAGGTGGTAGTTAGACACTCATTTCATATACTTCTTGTAATAAGACTATATTTCCCTAAACTTGACCCTTAGCATGCCTTTTATTCTATGAGAAGAAAATACTTGTTCTGTTGGAGTAGGTTAGCTTATATAAGTAGTGTTGTATCTTTACATGCTTTTAAAATATCAAACTTAAAAAAATGACAACTTCTTTTCCATCAGCTAGGTAAAATTCCTTAACTATTAACCATGATACTTAAAACAATGTTAAAAGATTTTTGAAATAGGACTCTGAGAAATGATTTAAATATAACCTTTTTGAAGTTAATTTTTAAATCCTAAGGGGCCACATATTCCTTTATTTTCCAAGTTTATAAAAAATGCTGGCAGCCCTGGCCAGGTAGCTCAGTTAGTTGGAGTGCTGTCCCAATTCCCCAAGGTTGTAGGTTTTAATCTCCGTGTGGAACAAATTGATGTTTCTCTCTCTCCCTTCCTCTATCTCTAAAAAAAAAAAAAAAAAAATACTAGCTATCAAATTTGATAGAAAAACAAGATGCCTCATATCCTTTGTATAAGGCAGAGCATAAATAAAAGTACAATATCATGTTCATTCTTCAATCTTCCCTATTTGTAATATTTCCCCCAAGCAGAGATGCCTGACAAACTGCTCCTCTTTTGCTCATATATGACCATTTTTTGCATCAAATATATTTACTTTGGTAGGCTAAATATTCAGAATAAAGTGAGAGCAGACAAGACTTTTAAAGCATTGATTTCTAAAGAGGCAACTTAAACAAAATACATTTCTTTGCCATCAATCTCATTCTAGCTAGCTAACAGTCCATGCTTTTGCTTGCTTCCCTGTATGATACTCTTATACTTTTATAGTGCTTTTAATTTACAACATGACTCACAGGCCATACAAAATTAACTTAAAAATTAGCCTGCTATATTTGGTCAAACATTTAATTAACTCACCCCTAATGCCTTGGCAGGGCCAGACCAAATGATTTCAAGGGCCTTATATGGCCAGCAGGCCGGACAATCCCCACCCCTGGAATAGAGGACCACTCTGCAGAAATATGTTAAGGCTCAAGGATCAGCTAAGTGGCTGAACCAGTTACCTTTAAGGTTTTTGCTGCTCCCAGGCCTAGGACTTTGTGAGATGATTGACAGTGGATCAAGAGTGAAGTATGTAGCAGCTTTTCTGGACAAAGGTGGTTTTATCCATTTTTTTTTTTTTTTTGGCTTAGCCATAGGAACAATGGCATTCACAAGTTAGGCAATCAAAAGTAAAATTCCAGTGTAAGCTACTTTAGGTATCCGTCATGGGGTAATACATTTTTGGGAGAGTTAATTATGAATGCAGGGCTAATGCCGGGGTATTGTAGTAGACAACAGATAATTCTGAAAGGGTGCCTTAGATAAAATGTTTGCGCTAACTAAAGCAATCCAATAGCAAATTCTGTAGTGAAATGACCCTCTATTTTGTAAGATCATGCAAATATCAAATAATGTCTATATTACGTACATTTCCTACTTTAGAAGCTTTATGTCTCTAATGCAGTGCTGTAGTGTTAAGGTTCAACAAGCATAGTAACTAATAATCATTAAAAACTGATTACAACATTGAGCAAGTAGCACACTCATTGTACACAATCGTAGGCTTATAAAACAACAGATGAGACAAAAGTTTTGCAAGCCAAAGGTGGGGCATAGAGAGTAACTCTTGAGACTAGAAATCGATTTCATTCTGATGTTTATGGTTTCACTTTTGAAACTTAAAGTGACCTTGCTGAATAAAACCTCAATGTTTGCTGAAAGAAAAGTAAATGTAGAAAGCTGTCCAGGATTTTTGACCATAGACGAATACCACTTACTTGGGACAAAACCAAGGAAAAAAAGAGCCAACTCCTTCATTTGGACACTGAAAATGTGGTCAGAGAGCACACTGGCGTATGTTATCGGGCCTGAGATAAGGGCTAAAAAAAAAAAAAAATTATATTTATTTTTTTTGGTAATCCTCACCCGATCCGTTCATTTGTAGAGAGAATGAAAAGGAGGGAAAGAGAATAATGGATGTGAGAGAGACACATGGACTGGTTGCCTCCCGCAGGCGCCAGGACTGGGGGGGAGGGAGTTGGGGGGAGCCGGGATGAATCCTGCAACCCAGATTTGTGCCCTTGACCTAGAATCTAACCCGCGACCCTTCCGTGTGTCGGGCGGCACTCTAACTACTGAGCGGCACCGGCTAGGGCAGGGACAAAATTTACCCCGGGTGTTATGTATTGACAGAGGAAAACGCCTCTAGCATAGAAGGGAGGGGTTGGCGGAGGCGCTCCAGCTCAGCAGGTGCAGCCCTGCCCTCTAGTGGCTCTGGGTGCGAGAGGCCTTCGTTTCCGTTTCCCGTGTCTGGCTCGCCAAGGCTTAACTAGAAATCGCTCATTGGGAGCCCAGGGTAGGTGCTGGGAAAGTGAACGCGGTTCAAGGGGCAAAAGGCATAGCCAGCAGCCGAAGGTAATGCCCGTTCTTCAGCTTCCATCCCTGGACTCCCGGTTTCTAGCTGTTTCCACCTCTTGGGTTCCACACACTCCAAACGAACGAGAAAGGCTGAATCCTTCCTTGAGCCCTTTGAGGCTGACCTCTCTGTCCTCTCATTACTCACGGACCCCCTGGTCGGGACATTATCTTTGGGAAATCGCCCCTCAATGACCAGCTCCCCAAGTTAGAGCAAAGCAAGCCCAACAGGGGGTCAGCAAGTGAGGGTGTGAGGTCCCAGCAAGAGCCCCGGAGACTCTCCGCGCTCGCCCCTTCCGTCCGCGGTCCTCGCGTCGCCTGCGGAGACTGTGACCGCCACCCCTACGGGAGGGGCTCCCCCGGTCGCCGCCTCTGTCGAGGGCGCTCCAACACGTCGGGGACAGCGACCATGACCGCGCCTGCCCGCCCGCCCCAAACTCAGGGCTGCCTCCTGGGAATGCGTGGCCCCCCAGTGGGTGCGTAGAAACGGGGGAGGGGGGCACCGTCGCCGAGGGTCCGCGAGGAACCGCCACGGGGGCCGCGCACACTCCTACCGGACCGACTGCTCCGCACCCAACCAGAACCCACTCGGCGCGGGCAGCTCTGTCTTCACTCCACTTCCGCCGTCCCCGCCGGTGCGTGCGAGTGCGCGTGCGCGCGCGCCTCTCGCAGCGGAAGTGGTAGCGACAAAGCTCGGTCCGCGGCTGGCCCGGGAGTGCGGGGCTCGCCGGGGCGGCGGGCGGCGGGGAGGGGCGGAGCGCAGGAGGCGGAGGCGGGTGCAGACCAGCGCCGTAGCGCTGAGCGGGCCGGGCCGACAGGGACGGGTCCCTCACCTCCTCTTCCCTTCCCCTCCCCGCCCGCCCTGCCTGCCTCCCTCCCTTCCTCCCGTCGCTCTTTCCTCACGCCGGGAGCTGGCTCCCGCCTGGCGCCGCCGATCGGGGAGCCGTTCCTTCCTGCCCGCGGCGCGCTGGCGCCCTGGCGAGCCCCGCGTGTGAGTATCCCGCTGCCCGGAGGACTGGGGTCTGGGGCTTGGGGCGTGCACCGATATTACCCATTTCCAGAAACTTCCAGGTCCCGAGGGAGGGGGCGTCGGGGGATACCTTGTTGGGTGGGGTGTCTTGGGCGCCGCCCTGCCAGCAGCTTGAGTTGGGGGCGTCGCGGGTGCCCGAGGGGTGGGCGCGGGGTCTGGGGCTCCCGAGCTGTCGGAGGGGCGGGGGCGGGGGGCAGCCTCCCTCTCGCCCTGTCTCTCGTCAGCGCCGCTTCTCCCGGTTTCTCTTGCAGATGCTGCTGCTAGGGGTGGTGGGAGCAGCCGTGGGACGCGTGGCCGGGAGCGGGGGTGACAGCCTGGGATCCCGGGGGCTTCTCTGCCTTGTCTTCCTCCTCTCTCTGTTCCCCGTGTGGCTGCGGCTGACACTAAAGACTTGGTAGCCACCAATCAAGTGCAGTTTCAATGGAAAATGAAGGTAAAGGCCCCTGGCAGCCGGGTTACCGCGCGGAGTTGAGGGTGTGGTGGTGTGTTTTTAAGTTGCCTTCCTTTCCCTACCTTTGTTTGTTTTCCCGGTTTTATTTATTTTTCTTTTAAGTGTCCAAAGAATTGCTTCCTTAGGATAGCTCGCTTTTTTTATGTTGGTAACATAAGGCATTTCGGAAATGCAAGTCCTGTGAGGTGACTGAGCTCGATTCTGCTTTCCCGGTCAGCCCTTGAGCTTGGGGTAGCAGGAGGGAAGTTTTCCTTTCTGATAGCATCTCCGTGCAGATCGCTGTTTGAAAGCAATCACTGGAGAGGAAGCGGGGATGGGGAGGGGGAATAAAAGGGACTGCATCTCTGTGTTTGCACATCAAGCTTTGGTATGGTATGTGACTGGGTTCGTTTATAAGAAAGGAAACGTTTTTGTTTTGTTTTGTTTTGAATTAAGTACAGCTTTGGGGGGGTGGACTCACCGTTTTTCAGTTCACACACACAAAAAAGTTCTGAATTAATGAAATATTATGCGGTGATGTCCTTTCTTAAAGTTCCACCCTATTTCAGAACATCATTTAGCAGGTTGAAGTGGAACCTGTTTGTCCACTGTACACTCTGGACACACTGGATTATTATTCACCTGATTCCTTTGGCTTCATTTAAATATTTAATGCTTTTTTTTTTTTTAACATAGCACTGATTATTTTGTAAAAGCATTGAAAACTCTGAATAAGTGATTTTTTACCCTCCCGAAACCATCACAGTTATGCTTTGGACTGGTGTGTGTGTGTGTGTGTGTGTGTGTGTGTGTGTGTGTGTGTTCATTCCTGGCTGCGAGATGCTATAAAAGATCATTACAAATTACAGTTTGTCCCTTTGTATCTTTTGGTTTTAAAACACTGTACAGTCTGGTAAAAGGGGCTGCTGTTGAGCTTGCTGGCTGCTTTCTAATTTGCTTTTCCCTTGTTGAGAATGTGAGCTTGATTGTTCTAAGTAGGACTAGTAATTTTAAAATAGATGTTTCTTATATGCAGTAATCTGTGTTGCTGTCTGAACCCCTGGGATATATGAGAAATATGATGAGAGGCAAGATTACATTGCTTAGTTCTGCTTTGGATGGATAAGTGGTGGAAAACATTTTCTGAAATACCGAAGTGTATAATTGTAGAGGAGTAGTAGTGTCTAATTGGGTCTTTAGAAACAGCATTTGAAAGCAGTTATATTTTTGTCTGGTAGTATGGAAAAACCACTTTTCTGAGGCCTTTTCCTCTTTGTCTTTTAGTTTATAGAATTAAGAAAGGCAAGTCCTTGCTGTAGGAGAGACAAAGAATGTTAAGTGCATTCATTTATATACCTGTTTCTTGGTTGTTGCATCTTAACATCTGAAACTTGAGCTTCTGCTTTGAGAATGTTACAGATTTAAGAGAGTAGCCTAAAGAAGGTGATTTCTTAAGATGTTACTTTTGTTTCTTCATCTCAGGAAAAGGAGCATGACTAGTAAAGCTCACTCTCATATTGTCTACTGAGGTGGGAGGGAGTGGTTGTGAGAAGGAAGCATGGTATATATTGGGGCTGACTGGGCCTCTCTGTACTTTATGGCCAAATAGGAATGATTTGACCTCATAATAAAAGATTATACAGTTCTTAAAAACTGGTTTTTTTCTGCTTTGTAATAATCAAAAGGCCATTTTTGTCAGTTTCTCATTACCATAACATTTTTCTTTTACCATTTTAAACATTTTAAAGAACTTCTATATAGTGTAGAAATTTTTAAGAGCTATTGACCATTTTGAAAAAATATATATATATAGTGTCTCAAAGATGTATACACACTTTGTACACTTTGAATAATTATTAATCCCAATGGATTAAATCTGAAAAGGAAGAAACATCAATTGAGCTATCAGCTGTTAAAGTGTGTATATATATATTTTTGGACCACCCTATATTATTATCCCTTTTCTTTCTATAGTTAGTATCCTCCTTTGACATGGTGTATTAGCATCTTAGGGGTGTGAAACAAAAATGTATTTAAATCATGCCTTCACTATTAAAAGTTTTGTGACTTCACCTTTTTGAGTCTGTCTTCTCACATATAAATTGGGATTGACAATAGCTTCCATAGTTAAGAGGGTTAAATGAGAAACCCTATATAAATTTTCTTGGGACAGAGGAAGGCTAGAGTTAAAGAATATGCGCTTTGGAACCAGGCATTCTGATTTGAATGCTAGATCCCCACTTAACATAATTTGGCCTTATGCAAATTATTAAGGCTTTTTTGTGCTTCAGTTTTTTCATCTATAAAATAAGGATATTGATAGAACCTGCCTTCTGAGGTGGTTGTAAGCAGGTATAACAGTATTTGGCATATAGCAAGTGCTCAATAAATGCTAACTATAAATAGCATAGCCCAGTGTTTGCATACTAATATATCACCAGGCATTAATGCGGTTGTTATGACAGCTAATGCTAAAAGAAAACAGTAGTGGTTAAAATGCTCTCCATGAAGTTGTCATTAGGCATCAGTGGAGTTAACTACAGAATTTTATATAGTGTTGTGGCTTAAAGCCCATAGAGAAAGTTGGAGTGCTACCAAGAAGCCAGGGACCAGTGTAAGAAGAGACAGGCTTAGATTTGAATCCTGACAAGTTATTTTTTCCTCTCCTAAAAATCTAATGAGTTACTATGCTTCTGAGCTTTCTCAGCTTCTAATGTTTACCCATCTGTAAATGGAATAACGCCCTCTTGGAGGGTTGGTGTGAGGAATAAATAAAGCCTGGTATGCGAGGTGCCCAAAACGATGGTTGACACACGGTTAGCATGCATGAATGAGCAATTGCTGCTATTCCCCAGAAACAGAATCCTCCAGTAGGTTTGTAGATAAGTCACATCTCTAGTTATTTACTGGGTAGAATTGATAGTGGCTCCCAGGAGCATTAGCATGAAGGTTCTTAGGGAGTGTGCCATGTCTGCAGTGGTTGTTGGAGGGCATGACATCTATGTGGTTCCTTTCAGCAACTATGGTATTTTTCTTTGGCACTTCAGTTTTTATTCTTTTGGATCTCTTTCTTATGGTCCACTTAATCTTTCTCAGCAAAGGTTGACAGATTTTTAGCCTTAACCTCCAGGATGCTTCATGAATACTTCCTGCTAGTCACTAGAAATACTTGAAGTGTTAATTTCCTGGAATTTCAGGGATTGGTCCTGGGCATCCATTTGTGGGTTATGATTTTATCCACATGCTTTGGAACTCCCGTTTGCATGTTTATCATAAATATAAACAGATACCACTTAGGAATCTGAGATAAGTAAAGGCCCCTTTTCTGTGTGTGTGTGTGTGTGTGTGTGTGTGTGTGTATGTGTGTTTAAATTAGCCATATATATGTATAAAGGGATGGCTTATTAGAAAATATATTTTTTAGCTGGATAATTTTGCAAATAGTTTCTCTTTCCCAATAATGGATTTTTTTTTGGAATAAATTTGGCCTTTCCCATAGAAAACCAGTATAAACCTAATGCACATAAAACTGTTTAATCGTAGCCATTAGTTTCTTTGACTAATGGATAAACATGTAATGATCTTCAAGATTTCAGGATATGCTTAATTCAAAGGTTTTAGGCAGAGCTAATGGGTCTAGAATAGATTCCCCCAGTTTCTTTGGCTAGCATTTGAAAATGATAATATGTTTATTTACACTTTAATTTTTAAAGTAGTTGCTTATTCAAGTACAAATTATTTTCTATCTAGGAATGTCTCAAGAAAGATTGTGTTAGGGTAGTTGGAAGAACTATAAGGAAAAAGGGACAAGAAACTACCTTAATTTCATTCCTTTAAGTAGGAATAGGAAACTAGGCTATTAAAATATTTTATATTTTTAGGTGTTGAAAAATATAATTTATTTAATTTGCAGTTTTGTTAGTAAAATACTATTTTCAATCAATATTTTTAGGGAAGAGTCAAAACTAAAAGATTATGTGACAACATTGTATAAATGTAGTAATTTAACACAGAGGAAGGATGCCGCAGAGATAATTTCTGAGCAAAAGCCTTCTGACGGTTGAATCCTAAATACTTGATTTGTCTTAATGTTTTTATCCTCCATTTAATGTCAGCAGATTTCCACTCCGTTAACTGAAGCAGTATCAATCAAAATGGTCTCCTAGGGAACACACCCCTTGGGGCTCAAGGCTGATTTTCTTTTGAGATCTCGGTTAACCATAATCTATTTGACAAGGTTAAAATTTGTTTTAAAACTGAAAAGAACAGTATAGTTTGATGGTAAAGTTAGTTGGGATGAATTTTAAATTATACTGTTGT